TATCAATTGCATTAAAAAGTGAAACACAATCAACCCAAGCCAGTAGTTAAGTCCAATTCATCAAATGACAAGAGCAAAATTCCATAATCAACAGTTGTATCAGATGTTCGTGGACGGGTGTAGTTAATTGTCAACATTGCATTAATTCGTTCCACAGCAATAACACAATCCATGTCTTATTTAACATTTAACATGTCTCCCCCAGCTAAAGACCCCTATGTGCAAGCGAATTACTGAAATAAAATTGAACCATGTGTTAGTCCCGAAATGACCTAGTTTGTGTCGAGTGGATGTTAAACTCCCATTTCTCTCTCTCTCTCTCTCTCTCCACATATCGGCTGTACTTTCAGTAAGGAGCTATTTGTCACAGTCTAGAATTTTTTTATTCTAACTTATAGCTTAAAGACCACATAAGATTAAAAATCTTAATTGAATGTACTTATAGCCAATGGTTACCATATCCATTTTACGGCAAGTTCAAACTAATCTGATTAAAATTAATTCAGCTGTTGAGGTTTAAGTATCCGAAAGCCAAGAATGGTTTACAAATTTTCAATTACAACCTTAATCCGGTTGATTGGCTGGTGACGTCACATGCACTACACATACTATATACATTATCTATACAATACACACCACCAGTTGACAAGTGTGTACATGTCGGTCCAATTAACATGTGACTGGCATAATCTTAATCACCGAATTATCGTCTTGCGTTGTTATAGATTAGACATTTGTGATTGGAATGTTTCAGAGTGAATTTAAAATGCCGTATCATGCCGTAGATCCATTTAAGGTGCCATTGTTTAAATAGGCCCTATGACAACTGAAGACGACCTAAGCAATTAGCGCATTTACTGGTAATTTAGATAACCCCGTAATACTTGATATTCCAAACTATTCTCTATAAGTACAGAAATACAAATGGTGCCAGTCAATTGTCGATATATTCATCATTAGCTATATATATAATAATAATAACCATTTCTATACAAAAACACCAGTGAGCAATAATTATTGGGTAAATAATAATTATAAACAACTGATGAGTAAAACTTAATTATTTTATACAATTAATATATGTGTGTACGATTCTACCAATAGTTCATTCGTGGGTACTACACACACATTCCATCTAGAGTGATGTCTTTGATCTGGACGGCGTAAAAAAGATAATTACCTAATCAGCATTCTTAATCCCACTAACAATCACTGCTAACACCGAGATGTAAATTAATTTATGACCCCAACTCTGTATAACTTTAGTCGGATTGATTAATTAATGACAGATATGACCCTTCTCAATCTGTCTGTTATTCCATTTAGATGGTTACCAACAAAATTTATCTGTTCTGTTAATTCTAACGTATATTGAGATATTTTTTCATATTTTATTTTTATGGTCTATTTCAGAGTTATGATGATAACGGAAGTCAAATCCGCCGTACGATGATAACGGATCGTCATTTACAAATCGCTTTTCAATCATGGTTGACTTTTATGATACATTTTGCATGACCACATCTTTTTACTCCTGTACTCTTTTACTCGGGGAAATTAGAATCAAAATACTCTTTTGACGAAAATGTATCTCAAATCGATTGGACTGCACACGATGTTAGAGGGTATTAAAATTGCTGTCGTGAGAAACAAGAGCGACCGTACATTATGAAACAAATTTTAAATTGGATCTTAAATTAAAATGAATTACAAAACAAATTATTCCGTAGTCAATTGTTTTATTTAATTAGGGAGATTAATTAATCAGTCAGGCGTTAATAAATACACACATATGCATTCGGTCAATGTGACGTCACTGGCGTCTGAGGGGATTAAGAGTGTTTTCGATAATTGGCAAAGTCATTTTTACGATTTTGAGTGAAGTTAACTGAATTAATTTCAATCAGAAATGAAATGAAATGGGATTTAACGTCCTACTGTTCTGCGCCTAACCTGGGCTAATGAAGACGGGCATACACCATACAGTGTGCTATGAGGGAAATTGGCTACATGTATCAAAAAGTTCCCAAGCCCATCTTATGTGCAGTTTAATACACACATATTAAATTGAGATCATTGTATCTCACACAAACAACTCTTTACATGGTTTGGTTTAGAATGAAATGGCTGGACACTAGAATTTCATAAAGTAATATTTCTCTCTATGTATTGAATTGCGGAAGTAAACAAAAACAGACATGACCTATTAAAGTTATGTTTGAGACTCAATCTTGGATTCCTCCAATGAAAGAATCTAATCTTGGAATATTGTAGACATTTTTGAACATCCTGTTACAAGAGGATATAATTAACATACGGTTACTGATTTGAAATTAAATATGTCATTTGAATAGTAAACAAGGGTATAAAATAGCAGTAAATTATAGTAGGTGAGACAAGTAATAGAGATTATTGGCTTTAATAATGGTATCGAGAATCATTAGGAACTCTGGCTGATATGCCACTGTGCTCATAATGACCACCTTTATGTTTTCTGATTAATAACATGATAGAACTTCATCTGGCTTAAGACTATTTCAGGAGTCACTGAAGTAATGTTTTGTTATCGGGGTGTAGCTTAGTACACCAAATTGATATTGTCATATGGTTTATTTTTTTTCAGATTAAGACAGACTCGCTTATATTGGTTGGGAATACTATTAATACATTAACCAATAAAAGTCTTTCCTTATTAACACCATTAATCAATAGATATAGGAGAAAATTGTAACATGTTTTTATCAAATGAAGCATATTTCTTTATCTTCAAGTTTTCCATGAATTTAATATGATCTTGCTTGTAAAAGATTTTCTTGGACTTAAAACATTTTGAAATGGGATGTAAATTCCTACGTCAATTATTGATTTTGTTGTCGTTACGAACACAGAAATTCCTGATAAGAAATCTAATCTTGTTGTGAGTGTTTTTGAATTCTGCTTAATGTGTTGTCGTGAACAATAGTGAAGAATAAAAAAATGGGTTAAGCTCAGGTGCTTTAACGGGAGCATCTCCAACATAAAAGTGTTAAATTGATGTTCCAAATGGACATGTACCATTAGAAGATAATTGATAAAAATCTAAAATGTCGTTAAAATCTGTAAAACTGATTGCTGCAGAGTTGTTAAATCTTAAGTAAATTATTTAAATTAATTTGCAATGCCACCTTCACTTTTAGATGGTAGTTGTGATGATATTTACATTAAAAACATTTCTACGTGTATGATGAATGTAGATTTCTAAAATAACATGTTAAGCAATTGTTCAACTGTTTACAAAGATTTGGTTTTTGTCCATAATATAAATGGAACTTTTTAACACACATTAATCTGTGATGTGATTTTAACTTCAGTATGAATTTCACTTGAAATTGAACCATTTTCTTCATTATAAATAAGCTTATATTACATATTCCACATTCTGGATTAAAGAATTAACTCTGATGTACCATGCAAAGTCTCTTATAAAAAGTTTGCTGATTGTTCATCCACATTTTACAAAATATATTTAAATCCCTATTTTCAGAAAACAGAGATTTGACTTGAATAACCGTTGTAAAATAATAATGGAATTTTAATATAAGTTATTTTTGTAAATTATAAGTAATTAAGATATAAACCATGGTATATTTCTTATGATGATCCCCATATAAACACATACTGTCTCAGTTTCTGTGCATCTAATGTCTTCAAAATATAGTACCAACATGTGATTTTTAAAGTGACACAAATCACTAAATTTACTAATTGCCGTAATTAACCTGTATATTTTATTTATTAATCTGCTTCCGTGTTTTTTTTTTTGTACATGAAGTGTGAATTACCTATAGTATAAGGAGATAAATTAATAAAATATTGTTCAAATGAAGTAAAAAACATGTCCTGCTCTTGACATATTTAAAAAGTTAAATTACTCTACTATTGCTAAGACTATTATCACTAGAAAATTACTTTCTTATTTTAGGACATTTATATTTGAAGTGGGCAATGGTAGTTGTTCACAGAGATAACATAGACTTAAACCTACATTATGCAAGAGCTAAATCTGTCTATTGCAGGACTTTCTTTAGGCCTGAAATGTTATCTAAATTATTCATTAGACATTAATTAACCTATCCAGACCATAATCAACTCTAGATGGCATCGCTATTCTGCGATCTTTAGGGGATTATGAGCCGATTTACTGCATAACTTTCCTTCGCGATGTAAGGATTAAACGGATAATCGAGACTATGCTGTTTATCGTACTGACTTTAGTAATGACAATCGAGGCTAGGCGGAAATTTCAATCGCTTAGTTCTCGGTTCATAGTGGATCAATTTGAATTAAATTTTTCAGCAAATTGCCTTTACATTATCTAGTTTTTAACTATTATAGTGAGAACTGCCAACTCGTAATCAAATCTCGTAATCAAATCTCCCATAATGTATCTTTAAGTAGTATTACTAAGTCAGATTCCTACAGACATGGCATTGTCTGCTTTTATTATATGAAATGCAATCATGGAAATTCTGTGGGCAGGCTAAGAAATGGATGAAATGTTCTGTTAATAGTAAAAGAGCCACAGTGGCTCAGCGAGTAGCTATAGGTGACTGGCTCACTAACATCTTTGTCTTTGTATATTGGATAGTATAAGTTGGAATGATTATGATAAAAAGAATTAATTACTTAATTTGATTAATCTGTTTATTAATTATTTCATTCAAAGGTTATAAATATTCATGTCTCTGAGTCAGACTCTTTGATTCAGCCTTGTAGACATATTATTATTTTGAAAATGAAGTTAATGAACAAGTATGGGAATTTTCTCTTTCAATATCTCATAAATTAACTTCCTTTCATGTTTATCATCTCATTCTCCAGCCTAAAGTCACAATTATCATCTGATTTTTGTGCAATGTGACCATGGAAAATTTTGATATAGGGCATATTAGGGCATTACCAGAAAAGTCAGGAGAATTGTTTCCCATTTTGAACAAAACTTATTCACTTTTCTTTTTCAGAGTGAAATGTTTGACTACAAGAATTTTAAAACCATTCATTCAGTATGTTTTTCTGGAACCACAGCAGACACAGGCATACCAACCCGCGAGGAATGGGTTAGAGGAAATATTACTTAATGCTTGTCAAGATGGACCAGCTTGTGCTGATGTTATAAAATTGTTGATGGACATTTTACCTGGACTTCAGGCAAGTGACAAATACATGTTGACTATATTAGAGCTGTAAAGTAGAGCCTACTAGAGATGGGTAGGATAACAATGGAGACAAAGGCATCTAAACCATGGGTTCCAAGTCAGCTGTATATGCCGGTGAAGACCTAGGGCTATGGAAAATGGCCGTAACTAGATCTGACCCATCAGTCATTTTGCACACCGGCAAAATAGCCCTTATTTTTTAAAACCGAATTATTAAACATGGCTACGATCGACTTCCACTATGTAACTATAAAATTGTACGGCCAGTACAGAATAATGCACACGTATAGAAGCCACATAATCTCATGATTGGTGTTGTAGAGTTGTATACATAATTTTCAACAGATTATACTGAGTGTCTTGTTGATAATTAATGATGAATGTCTTAGTAGGGCAATAGAAGTTAATTGATATGTGGGAATCTTATTAAAGGCATGAAGCGGTCCATTGTTCATGATTCACTATTTGATCACCCACGTGTCATAAGAATTTTCTAGAACAAAGCTGCTTTACTGCTATTACGTACACGCACAATGTAAATATGCCATGGGAAATTATATATTTATCTTCCTTTCGAAGTTATTGTATTACAACTTAAAATTATTCAGGTCAGTGTGTTTTCTATAGAGATGTGGTAATATATGTAAGTTACTGGCATGATTTCTCTACGACCAGTTCAGCTATTTCGATTAGCCAACAGGGAATATTTCATTAATAAATAAATATCCTAAGCCTTACTAATATTTCAGATTTAAGTCCCAATTTTTTTTTTTTTTTGTGTACACCATGCTGACAATGTGGTATAGACACGTGAATTCACAATACCCTACCATGAATAAAAAACATGAAATATGAATTTAATTTGCAAAGTTTCATGCGTTATCAAAAATAACCGACAGTGAAAATTTTAAAGTGGAAGCCCTGATCTAAACGTTTCAAACATGTATGAAATCACTTGAATTTTGACATCTTTGCAGCCATAGGTTTTAAATAGCAACAAACTTGATTCACCAATATCTACTCTTGTAATATATATGCCAAGAAGTGTTATTCTTAGCCATAACTATTTTGTTATGTGACTTTTCAAATGTTATCTCCTCTGAATTTCGATTAAATAGCAGTAAATGTTACTTAGAAGACTACCGATACCTCCGAATCTGATAAGCAGAAACTGTTAAACTTTAGATTTCGGTTAGCTGTGGAACCCATTTTTCTGTTAATATTAGAATTTGATATTTATTCCCATAGATATTATATCACTGCATTGTTGATATCCAAACTACAAACAAAGAAAATTTACAAAAAAATAAGGTCATGTTTTAAGATAGTTATGATCATTTAAGCAGTGCACCTTGATTGGTAAATTCAGGCATTTTCACTGGATTACAATAAGATTAGAGTAGCCTTGTTGATTCGGTGATACTTGTCAATTTCTATGCAAATAAAGTTACATGACAATTCAGGGGCAAGGCAAATTAGATGTTTTCAACTTTTTTTGCTCCTCGTCGAATTGTATGTAATCAATTTGCTGATTTATTGTCCATTTGACATGAATAACACACTGTGATGCTGTTGTCTTTTTTTGGACAGTGTGGATGACAAAACTGCTAGTAGGTTTATGATTCATAATGTCCTGTATGCATATTACTTGTTATTAGTAGATCTGTATAGTGATAGACTCCATTGAATGCCAGCTAAGAATGTGTTTGCTCACCCAATTGTATGTACCAGTAATCAATTTGCTGATTTATTGTCTTTTTAACATGAATAACACACTGATGCTGTTGTCTTTTTTTTTGGACAGTGTGGATGACAAAACTGCTAGTAGGTTTATGATTCATAATGTCCTGTATGCTTATTACTTTTATTAGTAGATCTGTATAGTGATAAGACTCCATTGAATGCCAGCTTAGAATGTGTTTGGTAAAAGCAGATTGTCCAGTTAAATAACTTGATTTCTAATATAAACATTCCTTTTAATATGGAGAGACAAATATTAAAATTAAAAGAAATATTTGTGACTAAATTTTGGTGATCATACAAAAAGCACTCTGAAATAGCAAAGTAAAGTTATCATGCTTCTAAGTTTAAATGATTTTTTTAAAAAAATGTCACTTCCAGTTTGAGTAAAAGCCAAATTGTGGAATGCTTAATGTGTAAATTGTTGCAAGTGAAGATTGATTTTTCATGATAAAGTATTTGAGGAGTTATAAAGATCCATATAATCTCAGCTCTAGAAAAATGGAAGTAAGCCAGAAATGGTAGACTGATGCCAGCAAACATCACTTCCTTCAGAAAATGAATCCCGTAAATTGAATTTGAACAGAACATATTATTTTCTCTCAAAACTGTCATTCCAGTTCCAATTGATATATTGTTTTGTTTCTAAGTAACAAAATCACTTCTTCCAATCGACATATCTGTCTACAAATTTAAATTCTCAATGTAAGTGAGTAAATAGAACTGCTTCAGTATATACATCAATACAGTTTGAACTTAATTCAACATACAGACTTGCAGACTTTCAAATCAGTAGTTATTGATTATTTTGAAAGAAGATTATCAGAAGATCACTCAAAATTTTCTTGTGATTAATTGCATGATGTTACTGAGATATTTAAATTTATGCTGACATTTATATGATTCTGCTATCACCAAGACATGATCTATTTTGGAAATAAAATTATTTTATCAAATTTATTTAAAGTTCTACTTAAACCGTTTAAAGGATTATGTAATATGATTATTAAAGAACATAAGATCTCATTAGTTTAATGAACTACTTCGCTCCAGACCCATAACTGACATGGACCTCATTTATCTGACCATCCCACTTTCCAATAGACAGATTACTGAAATGAACCTCATTTGTCTGACAACTGTCTTTGAGAATAATCACTAAAAAATTTCTATTTTCTTCCAGACCAATCGCTAAGATGAACCTTATTTTTCAGACCACTTTAATGTAAGACCACTCACTTAACCTGGGCATCATTTTTCCAGTGGCGGCTACAGGAATTTCCGGAAGGGAGAGTGCAGGGGGGCCACTTTTTGAAACTTTTGAAAAATTATTGGTGAGAAAAACTAATTGGAGTAAAAAGAACGACAATCAGTGTTCTCAGGGGGTGCTGTAAAATTGACGGACAATGTATATCTATTGTTTTTATGGTCAGCAATTTTTTCACAGGGGGGGGGGGGGGCGAAACTTTTCACAAGTAGCCATATTGGTGAAATGTATAAAAAAACAGGTAGTCTAAAACTAAATGATCTATGTTAATTATAAGTGAGAAACATTTTAAGTATGCAATAGAATTGAGGTATTTTGACTATAAAGTTAGGGCATATGTTCCATTTACCACAAAAACAGAGGAAAAAACAACATTACTGAATACAAAGAAGCAAACTGAAAAAGTGTAAACTGTCTCAAAAGACAGCTGTCTGTTGACTGAATGATGTGACATGAAAGGCGGTAGGTTGCAAAGTGACGTCAATGGTTGAAATGTAATAAAAACCACAATAAAAAGGGTGATAATCCAAAAATGAAATGAAATGGGGTTTAACGTCCTACTGTTCTGCTCCTAACCTGGGCTAATGAAGACAGGCATACGCCATACAGTGTGCTATGAGGGAAATTTTGCCCAGGCAGCGGCACTATCGCCTACTCTTACATCGAATTCCAACTGCCAAGGGATCTTTTACGTGCATTCCATTGTATACACGGGACCTCAGTTTTTCTTCTCATCCGAATACTAGACAGCTGTCCTTGTCAGGCCCTCCGTTCTGCACCACTGACAAGGGGAAACCACATCAAAAAATCCAGATGAACTTTCTCGGCCAATGCAGAGATCGAACACCTGACCTCCAGGCTAGCGAGCCAGCGTCTTAACCACCTAGCCACCGTGGCTCCCGGGTGATAATCCAGTAATCCAGGTAAGTTAACGCCAAAAGGTTGATAAATTATCAATTTAGGATCTGATTGGAATTATTCAGCTGTGTAATTGCACAAAATATATGTAATACACCTATAAGAAATGGAAAACAGGTATGTTAAAGAAATCGTTCTGTGAAAGTGTATTATATAATGTCATAAAATAAGGGATTAGGAAACTGCAGAAAATTTAAAATAATTATTAAGTTAGATAATTGTCCAATATTTTGTCGGTTATATACTTATAGGAAATGTCAAACTTGGTTTGTTGAAGAAATAGAAGTTTCGAAATTTCTTTTAAAATGCGTAATTGTATTCTGCACTTAAAAAAAAAGAGATTTTATTGTTCTTTATTGTTAAATATTGTTAAAAATCGTAATGTCTGTGAATAGAAGACATTATATAGCGTGCCATCTGGTATGTTAACATAAATTGATGTGTATTTTACTACTTAAAGGCTATATATATTTGTCTGTTTTGTCGAAAATACCGACATTAAATTTACTGTTAATTATATTAATATCCAGGTCTCGAACAGATGCATTTATAGTGCCAGAATTTTCTTTATTTAACATTAGTTCTGGGGGATATATTTTACTTTTTTATTTGTTGAAAGTTCCGTTATCATTGATAGGTATTATGTCATCAATGTATCGGAAGGTATAGTTTAGACTTTTAGCTACTTTGTAATCTATTTTTCGTTTATGATCCTGAAAGCAGAATTCATATTTATATAAATATGCATTTGCTATAAATGGGGCGGGGTCAGTTCCCATTGGTAAAGAAATTATTTTCTGTATTATCTGATCCCCAACCTCAAATATGGCATTGTCAATGATTTAGCGTTAAGTTTTTGATTGATATTATCTAAAGTTTCTACGATGGGTTTATTTTTATCAATTATGAAAAAAACTATTAATGCCAGTGTAACTGCGAAGTGTTCTGCACCAAATATTGCATGTTGGGTTTGGCATAATTTAAGTCCTTCGGTTATTGTTTTAGCCAATGTTTTTTTTTGGCAGTTGCTGGATGACATTATGTGCCAGAATTTTACTGGGTTTTTA